CAGAAGAAAGCCTATGTTTCCAATGTGCCTGGACTAGACAGCCAGCCAACTCTTAGTAGATGTTTTTGAAGTTTGTCGTCATCTCATGTTGGGAGTCTGGACAACTCATGTTCAATCAATGGAATGGTCCGCCTTGAAATTCTGAGGTGCTGAACCTTAAATTGCAGCAGGACTGAATGACTTCAGATTCAGCACACAGTGTGTCAGTGAGTCTCTATGTATAAGTGCGATTGGCAATATAATATATTATATACCCTGTTAAACTTCCAGCAGAAGTGCCGCCATTTGGCTCCCTGAAGGATGACATGGGAACAGAAGGAGTTATCATTGTGGCATCATCGAGCACCAAGAAAGTTCGAATGGGCAGCCGTGTCTCTGCGTCACAAATCCGCCAAGAAGAGCATGAGAACTCAGCCGCCGCCAAGTCCAAGCAGGAGAAGAACAAGTTGAACAACCAGATGCAGGTAAACACGAAGGACGGACTGCTCTCACTACCCACGTCTCTCTATCTTTTCACGCTTTCTCTTGACAACTTTTTGTGCCAAGTTTTTTGCTAAGGGGACTAAGGACTATGAACTATGATGACAATGATTATGACTAGACTAGACTAGACTACTATTAATGATGACTATGACTCATAGACTATGACTATGACTATTACGACTATTGGTCTACGAGTCTATGACTATATGACTATGATTGACCATGTCATGTTATGTTTTTTCTCGATTGATCCAGATCAAAACCATTCGATACTGTACCACATAGCGCACACCTGTTTTTCACAGGAAGAGGAGGATGTGGCTTTGAATGGCCAACCTGAGACGGTGGAAGAGGATGCTCCAGCAGGTGCTGAAGAGTCAGATGCAGCATCTTCTGATGAGATGTTTGGCTTCACAGCATCAGCTGCAAAGGCAAAGCCTGCCAAGCCAGCACCAAAAAGGGCCCGCCGTGAAGAGTCAGCAGCTACACCAGTGCAGACCAAACAAAACAAGGCTGGACCTTCAGATGAGCAGCTTGCGGCAAGACTTGAGAAGGCTACTGCTGGGATTGAGTTGTTGAAGAAGATTACCGCACTTAGCCTGTGGCAAGGCAGTGTCAAAGAGAAGGATGTGAGCAGCAAACTTGGAAAGTTGTGTGAGTTGCAGACTCAGCTAGAAAAGGATCCCGGTGAAGTCGCGCAAAGACTTGCCCAAGAGCTGCAGGGTTTGATCAACCAAACAAACACTTGTCTCTTGGCCATTGAGAATGCCCGCGATATGGTTGAGAAAGCAGGTCTCAGCAACCCCCAGTTTGCGTTCGACAATGATGAGTTCAAGATCTATGAAGACTTCTTTGATGCAATGCAGATTGACTGCCGAACTGCCATTTTGACAGAGATTGGCCGCAAGCTCACTGAGGCTGGCATATGGTCACAGTTTGTGATAAACCACTAGGATGATAGGACTAGGCCACCATGTTGAAAAGACACCCTTTGCCACTATCATGAATTGTGGATGTCATGCCATTCCCTTCTGAGATGGCCTTCACTGCTGGCAATGACGGCTACTTCTGGGACTTTTTGAGTTTGGATGCTCACACCAAACAGGTTTCACTTGGCACCGCACTGCCTCCAGAGCAAGCAAAGACCCTACAAGTGCAATTGTTCAATGGCTGGATGGACAAATTTCGAACAGCAAGTCCAGAATCCACTGACTGTGCACTTCGTAGCTTCCAGAAGGGAGATGACCTTTGGGCAGCAACTTTCAGCAGGACAGGGCTCCAACCCAGTCAGAACCAAGTTTCATTCCAAACAGGGTAGCAAGTCAGTAAGTAGTAGTCAAACCTTGGGAAGGGCGTTCAAGCTAGATAGGTGGCCTCTGACATTCACCATGTACTTCAGTTCCCCACAATGCCATGGTCTAGGCCAAATGGAGACAGTGACGTGCATGGCAACGTCCACATGGTCATGAAAATGCTCCCCGACCTGCAGCGATTCCTGGCGCTTGGATATGTACTGATTCAGTCCAAGGGAGAGCTGGTCTTGGGGCCAGAGCGAATCAAGGAGATCAAAGCCACAGTGAGCAATTCACCGCAAATTTCTCCTCGCTGCGCCTTGCTCTTCCGGGCAAACAACAGATTGAAGACAGGGGTTAAACGCCTGTGTGTGTGGCAGCGTGTTTGGTTAATCTCTACATTTTGGAATGTGATGCATGCAAGTAGGAATGCAACACGACACGACCTTTTTTCCCACTACAGGACTCTTTGGGCAACTGCCTGCGAGATTGCGAAGATGGCTATTGATGAGTCCAAGGCTGCTTCTGAGGCTGAGCGGTTGGCTACGTCTTTGACTGAGCTTGTGAAGAAACTTGGTCAGCCGCCAGCGCTTGCTTCCAGTGCCACCTTTAATGAGGTGAAGGAAGCGGGTTTCAATTGCAGCAGTGCAAAAGACTACCTTGTAGCCTGTCAGGAGTTGAAAGCTGATGAAGCTGCAAAGAGTGCAGATCAATTGAAGAGCGCGCTTGAAGAGATGACTACATCCATGAACTCTGAGTTCTTTTCTGATGTGGAGGTCACATTCAGTAAACATGTTCAGGATTTGTGGCTGGAAGAGCCAAAGGCCTACCTGTACTTACCATGCCGAGACAAGGATGAGGTTATGTTGGCGATTTGGAAAGCTGCTACGAAAGGCCGATTGAGTTTTTGGTTGCTCCCAAGTTCTTTGAAGGTTAAATTTGGCTAGGCTACAGCTACAACCTGCTAAATGTGTCACTCACGGATTCACTCGCCCGAAGGCCTTATTTGTGCAAGAGTTCTTCGCCAGGATGTGGATCAGAACCTTGAGTTCGCCAGCATGTTGCTTCACTATGCGGTAGAGGAGAAGCCCACATTAAAGGATTCATGTGCTGCCAGAGCAGGTTTGCAGAACACATTGGCTTCATGCCACAAGCTGGAGGGGCTTCCAAAGTGGGTGAAGGAAGGCAGACTTGCTTTGGATCGTTTTGACCAGCAGCTCACGAATGTGGGGAAACATGAATGGAAGCAGCTCTTGGCCACTGACGGGCCAGTCAAGGCTTTGCAGGTTATCCAAGATCAGAAGCTCGAGCTGAGTCCAGAGTTGGACAAGCTGGTGGGTGTGCTGAAGCAAGCCCATGTGCTTCAAGGTTTGGTTTCCTCCCCAACTGACCCCCTTACTCAGCAAGCCAAAGCACTGCTGACCATTGACAGCTTGGAGATTGAGAACATAAAGTTCTTCTTTCCAGACCTGATGGACACTTTGTCATCCTTCAGGAGCCAGGCGCATGAAAATTTATCAGCCGGTCTTTCCAAGATTGAGGACATGCTCAAAACTGGCAAGGGTAAAGTCTCCAAGTACAGGCCCGGTTCTAAAACAAAAGGTTGTTTGTAGGCTGGTGCCCAAAAGAAACAATGATTACAATTAACAAGTAACGAGTACCAGTACAATACATAATACAATAATTCAATTACAATTGAGTTCAACATACAATAGACTAGTTGAGATGACAATTAATCAGTTACACCACCGGACAAGACTAGACAAACAATGACCCAACTTGAACTCAGACAACCACTTTTGTGCACTTTGGTGTCAACCCTTCAGTCTTGTGGTGGAGAGCGTGACGCATTGGAACTTGGCTGCTGTGCTGTGGATGTTTGAGGGGGAGAACGAGAAAGCCTTGGATGAAGCATTCGCGAGTTTGGTTGAGTGGCGTGATGATCTCAGGAAGGAGGCCAAAGTCTTGGACATTGTTTTGGCCTTTCGATCATCATCAAAAGCCTCCATTGACCATGTCCTTTCCAGAGCAAAACCTTTGCGGAAGGATGTTGAGGTGGCAACGGGCCAAAAGTGTGTGCTAATTTGTCTTGAATCTCAATTGTTTTTTTCCCATATGCATATTGCCACTGGAAATTGTGGGTCAAGTATTGGATTCATTGACCAAATTCAGGAGATGTGCAATTTGGTCTCTATGACTGTGGCCTGTGGCATGGCAGCCGAGTGCATCATCCACGCAGACAGCTATGATGGGCAAAGGCTCTCAGTTGCCAGAAAGGTCTCTGGCTTCATGTCACAGACCCTTGGCATGTCCCCTTCCGATCTCCCAGAGACACTCCGGAAGAAGTTCGACATCTTCAGCAAGGGTGATTCTTTGCCCAAGGAAAGCGCAAAGCCTCTTGACTTTTGCTTAACCTCCAAGTGTTTGTTTCCATTGCTCAAGAAATTGCATTTTTCACTTTTTTTGAAGTTACTTTTTCATGTAGCCAGTGATCCTTATTTTCATTGGGACAGCCACAGCTGGAAATTTGTAAAACAAAAGCCAAAGCCATCTCCCAGGGCAGATGCGAAGCATGGTGACAATGGTGATGGTAATGGTGATGGCAAAAAAACCCGGAAGCCGCCACGGAAGTCCAGGGAGTTGATGGAAGAGCCAAAAGCCAAGGCCAAAAGGGTCAGAACAAAGAAGTGAGTGGGCATTTTCCATTCCCTCATTTAGATGTGACCACTGTGGTCCAGCAGGGGGTTTCGCTTGAGTGGATTCAGAGGAATCTGACCTCAGACTAACCAATGGTTCAGGAACGGAAAAAGACAGAGTGCAAAGCGGCAAGCGCTGTGTTTACATTTTTTTATGCAGTTGATTGAACACACTGAGTGGATTTTGGGTCGTTTTGGTGGATGGTGGGGTCTGTGTGGGGCCTTTTGCCTGTCCAAACCCCCAAATATATTATAAATAGTCTGGGGCTAGTTATAAATAGTCTCAAGTGTATGTTTGAAGCTGACAGGCAAAGAGGCCCACCCAGACCCTAACCTACACTTCAAATATCTTCAAAAATACACCGTCATGTTTGGCCATTCTTCCAGAATTATGGATTGTCTGGGCCTAGCTTCATCTAGCTAGCTTCTATACCTGGCCAAACCTGGGTCGTTCAGCGACTTTTGCAGCGTCCCGTGGTGGCCCTGGAGCGGAGCGATCTCGCTGCACTCCCTCTTTCTGCCCTGGCACTGCTGGGTGGAGGCTCAAACTCCTTCTCAGCGTCACGCTCTCGCCTTGCAAAAACACATCCAATGAAAGGAACTCTAAAGGTCGTCAAAAAATATCAAAGGAGGACAAGCCTGCTAAGCCTGCTAAGACCTTCCGCGGTCCGCGGAATGGGGAAAGGAACATCAACCTTGAATCGCGGAAGCACGGATACTTGCCTCGCGGGGGCAACAACATGATCACAGTACAACTCACGCCTCATTTCGATTGCAGCTTCCAAACGCTTTCCATGGCTCTCCAGCGCTTCCTTTTTGCATGATTCTTTCTTCTCTTGCAAACGAAGAGCTAACCTGCCGGAGCTGCAGGAAATTGATGGGGAGACGGCCCGTATCATTCAAGGACCACCGAACGAATGATGTGGTACACCCCCAATGCAAAGCAGCCAGGGCCTCTTTCGTTCTTCTGACTGCTGTTGGAAGATGCGCTTGAATCGATACCAGCCGTAGCTGCCTCATGGCAAGTTGCTTGAGATGTTTGGCTATGGCCTGATCACTGGTCGCCTGCTGATCTGCTACGAGGTGGCCATTCATTTCGCAAGCTTGTTTTTGGGTTGCACAAAAGTCATCCCTCTGAAAGTATGCTATGTCGGTACCGGCCTCCTTCTTCATATTGCCTTAGCTTCCCAGAAGGAAAACACGCATCCAGCCCATCGTTCTGAAATACGGGCCAAGCATATATAAAGGCCCATTGTTTTCGATGGTTCGAGCGTTCTGCTGCCTGCTAAACACGCGTCCTCTGTTTGGCTGGAGAACGCCATTTTTCACATTTTCACAAGCCTCTTTTCTGGGTGTCCATGTCAAAATCAACGTCCAAGCAATTCCTTGGGTCACCTCTTTGATTTGTGGATGTGTTACCCTTCACCCACTAGCAGCCCTCTTTCAGGAGGACAGTCAACCTCAAGCGCTGTTGGTTTCCAAAAGCAAGCATATCCCCATCGCAAGTTGCTTCAAGAGGAACTCCTCGAACTCATCTGCAGCTTTGCGCATCTTCTCGAACCACCTGTGGCCAGCATGCTGATCGGGATGTGCCAAACCTATCGGGTGGCCACCAGAAACAGTTCGAAAGTCAACTCTTGAAAAAATGAATGATTTCCTGGTATAGATCACACAAGCTTCCTGGATGCTTCGTAGCTTAGGTCTCCCTCTTTCGACTCTTTTTGGGAGGTGCAGCGGTTAATGGGAGTGGGGATGAAACGGCACTGGCCCCCGGTTCAACGACCGAGCGACTTCGCAAACGTCATCGCTGCGACCAGAAGACGGCTGTTGAGGAACTCGTCCGCCTGCGCGTGGCGAAGAACGACAGGCTTGACGAAATCCCATGGCTTCTAAGAAGGCTTATCTTGACTAATCACCAATGATTGAGCCTTCTAACTAATGATTAAGTCATTACCTTGACCGTCTTGACCCAATATATTACAGTATATATATGATTACGTCGTTAGTCTGAGGGAGGGGAGCACCAAAAACACAAGAAGTGAGATCTTCCGATAAGGAACCCCAGAATTGGTGTGCCTGGCTCACAGCGGACACCCGAAATCAAAGCCATTTTTTGCTGGGTGATTCCCTCTAGTGTGAATGGCTACAGTACCAGTTCCATGTTGGTGACAAAATTGTGTGAATGAACTGGAAATCCATTCAGGCGATCCAAAAAGGCCATCCTTCCAAGACACACATCCCCCCAAGGGCCCTGCATGGAAGGTCTGATGCAGGTCTATGTTATTGTGGGGCTCTGGATGCGACAAGAAGACAGCGTGAAGCAAGACGCCTCGATATTGGAGATCCAGAGAAGCTTTCGAATCTCCTAGCGACGAAGAGCAAGTCTGACCAAGTCTGCCAGATACAATTCTTGATTCCATCGGTCGATACCCTGAGTGAAAACAAGAACACGGTCAAACGACTGGCTGACTGGCTAAGCTGCCCTAAGCATCAGCATTTTTTGTGCATGCGGATGTCATTTGGCGGGTCCCATATCCCAAGCACCATTTCTGACCCATCCCTCAATGAAGGAAAATGACGAGCTTTCTGCCGAAAAACGAGGCTTTGATCTGAAGAGTGGTTTCTTCCAGTTTCTCCCAAACGATGCAGAGCCGCCCTGAGCTCAGCTCCTGCTTCTGCGTCATGAACTCTTCAACGAGCTCGGTGACTTCCAGTTCCTCACGAGCTGCGTCACGACGTTTGTTCCACCCAGGCCGCCACATGCATAACGGAAGGAAGACCCTGTAGTTCTTATAGAAAATACTTTAAACAAAAGACTTTAATGATACTTTAAGGAACCTACTAGCGACGGCCTCCAACCTACTAGCGACGGCCTCCACCCTAGGAGCGATGGCCTCCAACCCTATGGTGAAACATTGCATCTCTGAAACAAGAGTGGTGCATTTGTCATGCTTCTATCGATTTTGACGTCAGAACCTCCTGAACCATCCAAGTCCAAAACACCTATGTGTTCTTCACAGAGTGGCCCTGCAGCATGCAGCATGACAATTGGCTACCACCTTGACACACCAAAACACGAACTGGAATCACCAAAGTAGGACATAGATACCCTGAAAGGCACCAAAATGACCAAAAGCAAACATACTGATCCCCAAGTGATCTGCTGTGGCCACCCTCATTGATCTGCTGTGGCCACACGTGATGACTTGCACATCTGAGACGCACTTGCGCTCTTCACCACATTAAAGCCCCTAGCCTATGTGTGAGAGATTGACAGGACCATCATCCAACCTGAAGAGGTGAGGGGGGAAGAACTGACAACCATCATCCTTCAAGTGCACAAGCGAGGACAATGTCAAGTGCACAAAAGAGTGCTGAACCCCTTGCTTTCACCAAGCATCGCTCTCACCCATGGCTTGCAACCATGCGGTGTAGTTGAAGCTCTTTGCTTCAGCACTCAGCGCCTAAATTTGTCTGCAGTGGCCAGCCCCCAAAAAAGCAGGCGTGTTGTTTCACCAATATTTTTAGAATCCTTGTCCTTACTGTAGCTCCTCGGATTCAAGTCTTCCGTATGGGTAGCTGCCAACAACAAGAACCCTTCAGTCACCAAAAGCAATGTCAATACAATCAGCAATCCCGGTAATCCTATCAGTAAGCTGGTCTTGCACAATGGACCCTTGCGGGCAAAACCTCAGAAAGGAACATTCATGAATCGGTGAATCACAATACAGAAGAAACCGTCTCGTTACAACACACAACCATGATTCCATGATCATCCATGTGACTTTCCTCAACTCATCTCAACTCCATAGCCTTCGTCCCCTCAGTTGATCCACCAAGAAGCTGCTAGGAGCCCAAAGACTCGCTCCATGATCGCGTTGGTCTTGTGCTCCTCAGCGACGGTTTCGCCGCCTTCCGCGGACCGGTGAGCCACGCGAACAGTTTTCTTTTGGACGGTGGTCTCCTCGTCGAGGGTCGACGCCACGACGAACGGAGGGTCCTTAAACAGGACCTTTCCTGCAACTGTTCAACGAACTCTTTGAACCTCCACTTGAGGCGTAACGGAGAACAAAGAAACCCAGTGATGAATCCGAGGTGAGGACATGTGTATAGCATAAAACCGTCCCACACGGCTCAAAACAAACGATCAAAAAATAACAAAGAACACCTCTTTACCAACGTATCTTGGATGTCGGTGCATGTTGGGTCTGCTCCTGAACTAAACCACCAAGTGTAGTGAACTTGCACAAGACCAACACCCACTCTTCCACGGGCAGCTGCGGTGCTGGGCCAAGCTTCAACCTCTTCAAGACCCACCGCAACACCAATGGCCTTCGGAGGGTCGAGCTCGAAAACCCGGAGGAAGTACCGTGTAAGGGTCGAAAAAGCTTTCCAAACGGAGTGTGCTCACGAGAAGTGGAGATTGGTCACTTAAATCCTCATCCATCCTCATCTGACCCCACATGTGTCCAAATATCACAACTCCGAGCCGCAAGACGTTCAAGTACACTAGCTGCTACTCCACTTGATGAAGCAAAGACGCACATGTATCATGTTGCCATAATGTTACTGATAGACTCAACTGTAGTGTGGACAACACAAAGACGTTACGCCTGATACGCAAAGACGTTACGCTTCACTTCCCACAGGCCGATTCTACAAGAAACATACCATGGGATACCAACACATGGTATTAGGCTCTATATCGGGGTGGTCAATGTAGTGGGATGTTCAACTCCGATACTTGCTGTTCAATGACCCAGATCTCAGGAAAACGGGAAACTGTGCTGTTGAATTGACCAATGCTTACACCAATGGCAGCTTCCGTAGTTGCAAATCTTTGCCCTCTAACTCTAACAGCCATCGAATCAAGTGAACCAACGTCCCTTCTCTGTGTCCGACTGCTGTCCAGACAGCCAGGGGGCGGAACTCCGATTTTTGGGGGGAGGCAGAGACCTACCTCTGGCTACAGCCATCGCGTCTTCCATGACGAACAGCCACGAACACCGCGAACAGCCACCAACGCAAAGAACAACCCACCACGGCGCGATCAGGCTGCCACGGTGAGGTCGTCTCGTCCGGTGGCCTGACCGGCGACGATGTCCAAACGTTCTTCAGAGTCATCATTCAAGACCTTCAACACGTCAATGATCAACGTCTGCATTTCGCACCTCACAGGACACAGTGGAGAAACGGATGGATGAACCCTGGGTTGTCCCTGAAGAAAAGGAGAAGTTTTAGAACCGCCCGTCCTCCGTTCAAATACCCAAAACCATGCAAAACCAATCCGAATATGGATGGATTACCCATTCTTTGATGTTATTTATTCATTTCATGCCCTGCAAACAGTTGAAGCACGTGATTTCGGCGATGCGTCGGTCCCAAGACCTTCTTTCGTGCTGGCTTCGGCACACAATGGATTCCATCTTGCCATATGTGGTGTAGGCTTCCATGGCCTCTAAGAACAAGTCGTCATGGAACAATTCTTCATTGACGAAGTCGTTGGGCTCGAAGCAGCCGTTCCTGAAGCGTACACACACACATAATTATATATATAATATACTCATACCGCCTAAAACACACAGCTGAATCTTATATGGCCAAAAACTATCAAAAACTGGTCAAAAATTTGTTCGACATAGTATGATTCAGTTAGACTTCTTTTTACATTGACTAATGACTCAAGACTCATGACTAACGTTCTAAGCATTGTGTTGATCAGTAGTTGTCATCCAAGTGAGACGTGGTCAACACTTTTTTATCCCAGATTGGGTCCTCTCCCGCACTCCTGTCGTTGATAGGCAGCAAATTCATTCAGGGGTATGGGAGTAGAACACGCGTTTAAAGCTAATGCGGAGGGGATTGAAACTGGCTGAAGTTTGCAAAGGCTGGCAAGCCCTAAGGGCTTGCCCAACCAGCTCCTCCTACTTTGAACAACTTCTTTGAGAATCAAATGAGGCTGCCATCTCTTCTTGTCATCCTATTGCTATCCATCGTCACGTCCGGACAAAACTATGTGGATAGATAAGGCGAAAGCCACTGATCAATCTTTCAATAAGCCACCGGGATACCCTAGCCGGCCCTAGTTGAGCTTGGAAACTCCAATTTGTACAGCCTGAGTCTCTCCGTGACCTTGATGTGCTCGAGAGCATTCTCGAAGCGCCGCGCCACACTGGGGGCCATCACCGTGCTAATGCCCACCTGGTTGCGATCCGTTCAAGCCAATGATGCATCACTGGCCGAATCCGCTCTGAAGGTACCATAGTCAGTGGTTTGTCGGAGCCATGCGTGAACCACAAAACCATCAAGCACGTCCACTTGCAGGCGACCAAACTCTCCACGTCTATTTTAGGGTGGGCATGCAATGGCTTCGCCCGGGTTAAAAGTTTCCTTGGTTTCATGCAAAACCAGTGGTCAGTTTTGGACACCCAGTGACCTAATGCCTGTGCTACAGTTTGGCGAGGGGCAATCTCTGGATTTCGGGCTCTTCATTTGTTCAGTAAGTTCAGATTCATTCAAATCCTCTAGACACCTGTAGATCATCGGGGGTCAAATCTGCTAGTTCTATGTTCAATGCTCCTCAGGAATGGACCCCTCCCCGACCTCTGTGAGCTCCACTGAAGCATTGTACAGAGTGATGATGCGCTGATCGGTGATCGTTTCCTTGGTGAAACGACGGGCACTGAACTCGCTTGGGTATCTGAAGAACAGCTGTTCGTCGGATGTTGTTGAAATTGTCTGGAAGACTACTGTGCAAACAACATGTGATACTTCTTCTGCCATGATGCCGTTGCAGTACCTGCTTTGCTATGCAGCCATCTTGTGGAAGTCTGTTGAATGCATCAGTTTTGTAAGAAGTGGCCTGCACGACATAGCTACCTTGAGTGATGCCACTGTCTGCCACCCGCCTTGCCCCATTGCAATGATTAGCATCTGGCTCAATGATGGACTCACTTTCTGCCAGGAATGTCAAGGGCAAGGCGTAGGAGGCCTCTTCCTTGCGCACCAAGAAAGATCCTCCTAACAATGGTATGTGACATGTGTACGCTTTGAATATGCTGGCCGCCATGAGTCGGGCCGTCCAGACGAGACCAATCTGACCACACTAACCTATATACAGCAAGCCATCAAGCTGGGTGCAAGGGAGCAAACATGTTGGGCAAGAAGCATTGGACTTGCGGAGACCACAAGAATCATCATATGTCATCAGCCGATATATAGGCGCCCTGGCACTACTTGAACTTTACTCCAAGCTGCATATAGAGAAGCAGCACTCTGACATCCCGTAAAACTTTTTCAACAGTTGAATCCAATCACGGTCCTCACTTTTCCTTATCAACTGGCACCATGGCCTAAATAAAGCACGTGACAACAACTGATCAAAGGCTTCAAACAACAAGCTTTCCCGCTAATGTGCGGATTCAATCAAAGCAACTTGAGACCTGCGCGGTCCCTTTGTGTTAGTCCCTGTGTATTGATTTGACTGATGTGGGGCTGCCACCTTGTCCCTTTCAAACCTTGAAAAAAGCGCTGCTAAAAGGCACCTTCCATCATCCACAACAAGTGAGGTCGACCACTTCACACACCGAACCGATGAATATCACACGCTGCCCGCCTGCGTTGAATATGACCACTTCCTGATGGTGTGAGCTTGCTTCGCCAGCTGTACCTCGCTAGCACCGCGGTGTTCGTGGTGAATGAATCAAAAACTACACTTAGCACAACCATGAAGACTCTGAAGACTGTTTTGAAATCCTCAAGAAACTAGACAAAATGATTGAACAAGGTTCCGTGCACGAGTGAATCTTAATGTCCGAGTCCCAGGTTCAAAGACATGAAGAAAGTTAATGGCCAAATCCAGGAATGGATCTCAATGGTCGTGGCCAATATGCAACTTTGTTGGAAGCTTGCAACCTCCATTGGAAGCTTGCCCTTCGCGGCAACCCTGCAAGTAAAGTGTAGACCTAAGAATGCCTTCAAATCAACAGAGTGTGGGTTTTGGGCGGCCCAGTGCGGAACAGCAAGGGCCACCCAGGAAAGCATGCCAGCCAGCAGTGTTTCGACTCCATCTAACCACCAAACAACACTTCCACCAAGCCAGCCCACATCCTCTTCATCGCTCTCCGACTTGGGTGAAATGGAGCGAGGTGTGTCGAAGTTCGGTGTCTTGGCCTCGGACGTGACGGCCTCGAAGTCCGGCCACCGCTCGGACCGAACATGCCCGGACCCGTCACGCCGAATCTGGTAGGGAAGGCGGGAAGGCCCCTTCCAGAGTTCAAAGTAGAGGTGCAATCCAATCGACCCCACATCACTTCCCAAAACGACATGGAAAACACCCACCGACGAGAAGCTTCCAACTCCAGTCAACGACCTTCTATTGCCTGTATCACACCAATATGCGCTCACTGCGTGTAAAAGTTTAGTTTCATGAACGTTTCATGGATGGATATGGATGGATTATGAAGGATTTACGTTTGCAAACTCTCATCTTCTCCAGCTCTGGGGTTGTACCCGACGCTCCAGTCTTTGCTTGGTGTAAGCCAAGAAGCTCGAACATGATACTTGCCGGCTTTGGTCGTCGATAGGCGGGATGAAGCACGAGTGGTACATCCTGCAGGCATCCAAAAAGTTTGCTGAAGATCCACGAGTACGTGCTCCGATGGCCAAAACCAAATACTGCACCCGACAAATCTTCAACCAAGGCCCAAGCACCGTGAACTCATTGAGCCAAGGCTCTAGTCGAGCATCGTGAATGAAAGCCGTTTCGTGAGGGGATGGCGGGGCTCCGTGTGTCCTCAGCTTAGTCAAGCCAACAATTGCCGCCCAAACACCGAAGCTGAACAAACAGGTGACTCAGGTTACAGTGCCGATCTGAACAAACAGGTCCAACCGTTTGGAGCTGTGAGCGGCGATCAAAGTGAGGCAAAGGTCCTCGACCCTGTTCTTTTCACAATTCGATGTGTTTTGCCTGGCTTCCTTCTTCCAAAGGGTCTTTCTTGAGGTCTCCCAATTCTAATGCACATCCAATTGTTTCATGGTCCTTTTGCGTCCCACGGGCCAAGCGAGTCAAACCTTTTCATTCACGTGTTGCTGAAGACTTGGCATCTGCAAGGGGTCATGGAAGGACCTCTACCCTTCGGCCCGACTGACACTGACATCCAGCATTTCAACGTCATCTTTTGGAACTGTCTGAGAAAGAAAACAACCCAACATTGATAGTAGACCCTCCCTATGCACTACCCTCCGCTACACATGCCCCAACCAGTGCGAACGCTCCCAGGAACTTCTCTTCCATCAGTTGTCCGGGTCATATTGCATATATATATATACACACTAATATACACATGCAGTGCCAAACCAAAACCCAGACCCAAAACTAAAAGACAATTAAACCTCTGCAAGGCCGATGGAACCAATATGACGTGACGCTGGTGGGCTGCCCAGTGTCCAAGCGTGACGGTGGTGTCGAAGGCGTACAGGAACGATATTGGATCTGTCGCTGAGGAACCACGATCCGACGGCTATCCAGGACACTCTCCGGACCTCTATAGGCTCTAGTCACTAGTCTATTTGATAGATGTTCAACATGATTCCGGTTTCAGTGGAGTTTGAGGTGCTGGTAGGGTTCCTATCCATCTTTGGGAAGCCAAATTTTAGCAAATCCGAGAGTGTCTCCAAGTCTCGACCTGCAATTAGGATAATTAGGGAGAAGGGCATGGAACCATTTTTGTCCCCCCTCCAAACCTCTCCCGCACCGTCAATGGCTCTTCGTCTTGAATGCTTAACCTCAAAAACTCAAAGAGTTGACGGAAAATCACGGCTATCGCAAACCTGCCTGATCTCCCAAGCAACTGTTGACGTCACCGAAATGAACACTGTTGGTCATTTAAAGATCCTTCCATGTGGCACAAAAAAACATGAGACAAAGAGACAATGATCAATCCGAGATGTGATCACCAATCCCACTGGCCCGGTGCTTGTGTACACCCCACGCGCTTGGCCGCCTGTGGGGTTGGGCTTCTGGATGCTGGAACGAGGGAATCGTTGGTGTCCCCGGTTTGCCAAATGTGCCCGGACCATTGCCCTAAGGGCATCCTGGGATGCAAAGCAGCTGACTGCAGCTGAAAGCCTTTGTTTCGGATCACAGGGGCTAATTCCAGATGCAAAAAGCTTGTCTGGGCTTGAGCCCAGCACAACTCGTGTGAAAACGGGTAATTAACTATAAACATCCAAGGATCGCTTCATTGGCGAGCCCAAGCCTCGCTCCAAAAGGGAGTCAGTGTGCCCTGCATATGGAGTGTCCAGTCCCAAGTGAGCACATAAGTGAACTATAAGTGAACTATATCATCTAACTGATTTCGACGAAAATATGATGGACTGTGTTTCCTTTGGCGTCGTGCAAAGATTCATCTCGACCCCTGACTCCGGGCGCCACATGCAAACATCACCAAACCAATGAATACACTCCCGAAAACTCACATAGACCCGGGTCCGTCCTGGCCCCCCTGGAAGAGTGTGGTTTTCAGGGTCCATGTTAGTCTTCCAGGGTGTATATTATATCAATTATCGTTTTTTGCATGTTTTTTGCATGTATTTGGTGCCAAGATGGTGCCAAGTCTTCCGAGTCGATGCTCTGAGGCATCGCCCTAGTAACAAGGGCACCCAAAATAGAGACTCAATAAGATTCAAAAAGGCAAAAAAAACACAAGCTTTGCAGCCTTCCAAAATCTTCCAATCTTCGTCTCCAAGTGGCGCCCCTCTGGCGAAATGCGGTCCCTTCCCTTCAGGAACGCCGCACAAATGGAACGCCCATGGCCGGCACACCACTTTGGCTTGAGCATCCGCTTGGCAGCCGATCCGAGGCGAAAGCACGGACAACTGCTCCACAGGTGCTGCTCCAGTAGAGCACGATTGAAGAGTGTTTTAACTAGATTGTATCTAGATTGTTTAACGTTCAAAATGCCTCAAACTAACAATGTAACAAACATGCTCCGCAATATTCAAATTAGTGCATGTACATTGAACAAACCTCATGTGGCAAGACTGGATGTGAGGCCGTCCCCACATGCGGCACATGTTCAACATCCCCCCAGCCAGCTTGAACACCAAACCAAACTCCCAGAGATTCACTCACAAGGAGGATCCCTCTAAAGATTTGTGTTGCCATAGCGGCGTGCTGATCTCCACATGGGTCATAGCCCCCAAAAACGTAAAGCCTATCTTCCACATGTTCACCCCACTCGTCCCCGCCCGCGCTCTACCGGATCAGCCCCCCATGTTTTTGGCGCTTCTATTTTTTCGGCGCGTGCCGGCTGTGCGGCGCTGTGCGTCGCGCGTTTTGCCTCACGCCGGCGCCTTGCGCTTCCGGGGCTTCGCTTCGACCTTCGCCGCGGGCGCCCCGTCGTCGGGCGCCGCGTCCGGCACGTCGTCCGGGCGGCGGAAGACCCGGAGGAAGCGCTGGAAGTTCTTGGGCAAATCGCCTGGGGCGGCCGAATCGGCTCAAAGGGTGGAACATTGAGGCTAACACAGCACGCATAAGCAAACAGGTGCAAGTAGTATCAGGCTGCGATGGTCAAATGCAGCACGGAAGGTCTTGAAACAAATTAACTTAATAAGCTATTAAATCATGTAGTTGCGTTTGCTGAAATGTTGGCAGTTGGCCCAACTGATGCGCAAAGCCTCTGACTTCAGGATCTCTTCGCAAACTAAATGGGGCTGTCGCCAACCCAGAAATGGGTCGAGGACTTCCAGCACACTGGAGCGGCTGGCCTGGAGGCTCTATAGCAGCAACCTTTTCAAAGCCCAGATTTACCAAGTACTCTTCGAAGTCCTGGTGCCAGGAAAGCTGCAGAAGAAAGAGCTTCCACAAGTACACCACATTCTAACAACCTTGTAGTTCTTCAACCTGTGGCTCCAGCAGCTGTTAAGAAAAGGAGTCTTCTATGACAGCTGCTGGAGCTGCTGTTTTTTCTATGCTCTTATGTGGACAGTAGCTGGAGCTACTTTCCCTGTTCTTCTATGTTCCTTCTCAGGGCAAATCAAAGCCTGCAACGTTTTCGTGGCACTGTCACTGTCTTGTGAATGTTTGTCACAACCCGGCTTCATGCTGGCTGATGTCTGCTCAAGACTCAAGAGCGCAGCCGCCTGGACCTGGTCAGCAACTTATTCCCCAAAATAAAGAATTCTGCCAACTCCCTTGGTTGAAAATCATCTGCTTTTCTCATTTTGAGGGTTCTAGCAGGAACCCTCAAACCCTAAACTCTGGAGCCAGTGCGATGAACTCAACTTTACATTTTCCTTGGCACTCCCACTGTATATGTGGATATGCTCTTGCTCGGTGAAGCACCCCAGGTACAAACGGCGCAATAAAACAGGTGAATCCTGAACTTTCCTGAACCACTTTTCTGAATCCAAACTCAATTACCCACCATTTTCATCGCGATTTGTGCACCTCTGGTCGGATCTGGATCTTCGACACGGTTTGCCGGACCTCTCTGGTGATGTGACGTTTCCTCGGGTGGCCGGTGTCATTCAGCGCAAGATCTCAACGAACCCGTTTGGTCTTGTTCAGCGGGGAGTTTTCAGCGGCACACCCCTCGGCCAACTGGGTGAGAATCTCCAGGTGTGCCGCAATTGCGGACATCAAGATCACTGTCTCAAGCTGTATCAAGCTCCAAGCAACAAACGATCTCCACAGCGTTCAAAGACTTTATATAGCATACCAGAACGGCTGCACACGAACCAAGACGAAAGGGATTGGCACTTTATTACATACATTTCTAAGTGTGTGGCTCCTCGATCCACCATCTAACTGCTAACTGGCTTTCTTAGCAAATATGATCCTCCCTGCTGCTGAAAGTCTTTTTGTAGCTACCCCACTCCTGCGGCTCCAGAACGAAGTAGCCACCTGGCCTGTGGGCTGATGTCGTAAGTCTAGTCTTATTGAACGATGTCGTGAGTGCTTCAAGTTCCTGCATCTTGCTGTGGGAAAGCTTAATGAGGTGCAAAGTGCCAAATTCAGACCGCAAGACTCCAAGACGTAAGAACAAACAATCATATGTGGCAAGCACCAACCACATAGCACGACTGCCATCGTAACTGGCCTAGAACCTGATTGGTGCTGGCCAGCAGGCTTTGGCACTGTACCAACCATGGCCAGCATCAGGGCCAAAATCGTTGCAACAGAACTATCCCTACACCACGAGGACCAGAGTTTTGCTTCTTGAAGGAGGTGTGATAGTTGACCGCCCTACATAGATGTTTTCAGACCCGGCATGACCTGGCAAGAACAAACCATCTTCCTCCCAAAGTATAGGACACACATGGAAGCACCATCCTAAACCGTCGGAACCGAGCTGCCAACCTCATGGTTTAAACATATCCAAGGCAACTGGTAACTCAAGAACTTCATGGTGGAACGTCATGGTGGGGTGGCCCTCTTTTTAAATACTCTTCGACACACACAAACCTCGTTCGCTTGAAGCAGCGCTTGAAGAGGTTGTGGATGCCAGTATCACCATGCGCGAAATGGATCCACTTCGTCACCGAGAAGCACAGGACGACCTCAGCGCAGCGCTGTTTTGGCGATTGACTAGGACAGGACGCGTTCGGTGCGACTGGTGAGCTTTTTCATAATTGATCCACGTGGCATTCTGCCAAACCAGTGAAGAGAAAATAATGCAAATAACATGACATAAAGATACATAAAGGAACCCCTCTTTCAGTGCAAATGGTGCACCAATGCACCCTCTTCTGGCTAGACTGGTTTTCTCTTTCCTTTCCCTTGTAGCCGTCTTCTCTCAAGCACCCTCGAACTACGATTGCTATACGCTGGGCCTTCTGGACATGGAATGCAAATTTGATCACTCAACATATCTCAAAATCACCATCATCTCCACTCAGGTTCTGGAATGTCAGGAATCAGTGGAATCCCTTCCCTCATCCCTTCAACCTCACCGGATGAAACGCAGATTCCATTCATGTCAATTCTTTTCCTGATGTAGACTGTGGATGAAAAAAAACACAGACCAGAACAGCCGTCCACACCTCCAATGTTTGATGGGATATTATTCTTTCATCACTCCTCGCCGTCCTCGCCGTCCACGTCCTCGCTCGCTGCGGTGCTCGACACGGCGCATCAAAGCGTTCAGGCAGCTCCTCGGGTGGCCGCCGCAGCGGGCAGTGGAGGATGTCCTCGGCACGGAACTCCAGGGAGTCTGCCGCATGGATGGCACCTGCAGGAGTCGGTGTCCACAGCGCGGACAAGGCAATGTGTTGGTTGGACTGGGTTTTGGTTGGTAGTATATCTGAGTAGCTATGCCCAGGGCTCAAAGAAGCAAGTGATGGCAAGTGCATGTCATGTTTCTACGAATGACCTTGAGACTTGGTATGTTCGAAAAGAACCTGTGAATCCACAAAACACCGTGCGCAGAACTCCAGCTGATACTTCGCAAATTGTGATGCATGTCATTTCAATGTTTACTCTCAGACTCGGGCTTTGGGGCACCCCCCTTACATGCCAAGACTCGTGGGTGTTCGGTCTGCGCCAGGTTCTGTCCTCACAGCCAGGCTCATGGCATTTAAACTGCAAGTTCATCATGGGTCTGTCCCAAAACGAAGGCAAGCTCCGACTGCAAGCAGTAGGTCACTAGGCATTAAACTCATTATATATGCGTCCTTTCGGAAGGGGGATCATGGTGTGTTTGAGAGGTCTGCTTGCTGCTGGAATCTGCTGGACAAACTGACATTGACGTCTTTGACATTACAATGGACCAGTTGTAGCTCACGTCTACTTAACTTTGCAATGCTCTTGCCACCTCTGTGCAACCAAGTCTCTGGCAGAGTCCACCAAACCGCTATCAATGTCCATTCCGACGACGCGCTTGGCACGGAAATCCAGTGCCGCGGAAATGGACACGAGTCCTGGACCACATTCTGGAAGGATCACATTGTACAGCAACGTGACCGTGAGTCTTGCGACGTCTCCAACGCCATCTGCGGCTTGCGACGTCTCTGTTTGAGAGACCTGGAAAACCAAGAAGAGGCGCCACAAAGGCCCTCTAACATGATCTCATCCATGCTTTCCTTCTACCAGGTGAGTCCCCGGTTCCAAATCAAAGGGGTGTCAAGCTCGAGCTTTCTGCGGGGATGTCTACTTCCTCAAATTTTGCGGGATTGGAAGGTCCTGCAAGCAGGTTCAATGAGGTCTTTTGAAGCTGGCTGAAGCCGTCCTGAGTTGCAGCCAATGTCCAGGACTTCTTTGCCTTTCAAGAAGCTCTTCCTTAGCATCTGACAGGTCAAGCAAACTACACACTACACCCTTCAGATTTCCGATTTTGGGGATGAAGCTCCACAGAGAAGGCTTATCATATCTTATCATCATCATCAATCAATCAATCAATCAACCAATCAATCAACCAATCAATCAATCAATCAATCAATCAACCAATCAATCAATCAATCAACCAATCAATCAATATCAATATAATATCAATATTCTTCTCTCTCATGCAGTCTCTCGAAGTGACGGTCTTTGTTCGTCTTAGCTTTCATATGCTTTCATTTCTCCACCCCCCAATGTCTCCGAAGCATCAGCCACAACGATGAAGTTCGGCCACAGCAACTGGAATCCCCAAATCATCCCAAATCACAGCCAGCTGGCCAAGTGTCCCAAAGCGTTCACTCAGGGCCGCCAATCGTCGGTCACCGACGAAGAAATCGCTCTCGGAGTGGCGATAGTTGTAGTAGCCTGAAGGCACACGAGAGATGTCGAGGACGGATTGTATATGAATGAATCACGACTGCTTCTTTGCTCCTTGAGGGGTCCCGCTTCCGAAATGCAAACGCGCCAATCTCGCGTGAAGTCATCCTGTTGATTGGCCCATCAAGCGCAGTCATGCTCAAAAATGTGAAGCAAACAAGCTCCTGATTCGCATGAATTTGTGGGATCCCAAGCGTGGCAGCATAACTGGCAATGAACTTGGCTCATGGAGCACCTGTCGTGGCAAACTTGCAACCAAGGCACTGCCATAGTTGCCATGCTCATACAACGGCTTGCCCTTTTTCCAAGAGGATGGACCTTTCACAATCTCCTCAGGGATTTCCAGGCAAATCGCATGAAGTCACAACGATGATCCAAAACATCGATTTGTGGGGTTGATCAAACATGGTATCCGCATTTAACCGATCCTTGGTCTCAAGCTTCAACTTCTCAGCCGTCTTCGTTACCTCTCCAGTGAGTCAATTGGAGGTGCCAAAGGTGCCAACGAAAAGCCCTTCTCACATCCAAGTGGTCAAGAATTGGTCTGCAAACCTGCTTTCTGAATGCATCAGATGCGCATGGACTTGCACATCACCATGGGTAACGAGCGAAAAGCGAATCTTGCACCAAACAGCCCAGTGGTTGGGTGGGTCAAGACGAATCAAACTGATGTCTCAAATTCCCAAACCTCTTCAATGAGCCACATCTAACCTTACGATCCTCGGTGCTCCTGTTTTGGTGAGCAGAAAGCTTGCACATGGGGTGCGTTTCTGGTTCTCGCCGGTGCGAGAAGGAGCCAGGTGCTGCCCTGCGGCAGCGCAAATACAGCTGCAGGAAAAGATGCAGGAGCAGTTGAAAGGCAGCAGCGTTGTTGCTGCAGCGAAAAGGGTGAAAAGGGAGCAGCAGGTGCTGCGGTTCATTAACTGGCAAGCTTCAAGCTGAGCTGATGCCTTAAAAGACTTGCAGTAGGGGCTTACAAGTGACACCATGCTGACCCACACTTCAGCAGTGCGTCTTGATTGGGGCTGGTGCCCAGGAACCTGACCTCGCCAGTCTCAAGGTCATAAATGCCCCCATGAATCTCCACTTCACCTGCCTCTACTTTGCTTCGGACCAATGGGCTGTACTCAAGCAAACGGTCAATGCTATGGAAGACATTCAACCTCACGGCATGCGTGGCAACCTCTTCCTCCTTGGATTTGCTCGGGTTTCAAGGCCCTTTGTGCAAACCCTTGACCTGCCTAGACAAAAATCCGACGAGGGATATCCACGACACGAACATCCAAAAAGCAGTTCTCAAAAATCCTGGGCTTCTGTTGCATGGTGGCCCAACTCATCGTTTGCTTTGGCAGCAATCGCGCTCAAACTCTGCAACAGCGCATCCAATGCCCTGGTCACCTGGGGGTCCATAAAACTGATTGAAAAAAACACACAATTGCAAATAAATGTTCGAATGTGGAGCACAAACATAAACTGATGGAACATGATGAAGCGCTGAAGGAAGAACCTCAAATTGATATACTTATACTCAATAACACTTAACACTTCTGCAGATGACATGTACTTTCTATGGAATTGCATGGAGCTCCGATCGGTGATCGGTGACCTTCACCCTTCGACCTTCACCGAACGAAAGAGAAATTCCCCAAATCGCCTGGGGTCTTTGGCCATTCTTGGCTAAGAAATGTGTCTTGGTGGCACCCTTGATGGCTCCGCAGGCAGTGTGCCCAAGCACGATGATGAGCTTGGTGTCCAAGGAGCCCACACAGAACTCTAAGCTTCCCATGACACTGCCCTCTGCATGGGTACAGGTGTTCCCCGCATTTCGTAACACAAAGACATCCCCGGGCATGGTGTCAAAAACGGTCTCCAAAGGTGCACGAGAGTCGGCACAGCCTAAGATGGCCGCCAAGGGGGCTTGCCCTTCTTGAGCCAAAGCTTTCCTCATTTGTCCCGTCACATTCCCCGAGAGCGGCTCACCCTGGTGAAAGCGCCGATTGCCATCCTTCAAGATCCGCAAGGCGCGGCGCGGCTGCATGGGACCATCGCGGGTGGTGCGGATGGGCAAGCTTTGGAGCATTGGTGGCATGGGAGTCTTTTCAGAGGCCACTAACTCTGCTTGCTTCGGTGAACGGCCCATGAACTCCACTCGGCCCGTCTCTAAGTGATAGATTCCACCTTGGATTTCCAGATTCCCACTTCTCACCAATGCTCTCAAAGGCGCACTGAACTTGAGGAGGAAGTCAATGGAACGCCACACGTTCACCCTGACACAATGGGCCACCAACTGATCAGGCTCACATGCACCAAGTTCATCTTCCGCTTGCTGAGCCGCTCCTGACAAGCCAATGAGCAGCCCCTCTAGTGCACTAGCTGCCTTGACTGGTCCAGAGTGCTTGCCTGCCAAGTAGGTCTTGGTGGCACCAGCTATGGCGCCACATTGAGTGTGTCCCAGCACCAAGATCAACTTGGAACCCAACTTTCCGGCACAGAACTCCAAACTCCCGACCATGCTCCCTTCTGCATGTGTACCTGCAACGCGTCGTCAAGCAAGTCTAACTATGAACTCAATGTCAAGTACATTGGGTGAAACTACCTGGGACCGGACCCCAAAAATTGAGAGTGCCCCTCATTTTCTTCAGCCCAAGGTGCATGTGTTCCCTGCATTTCGCAGCACAAACAAGTCCCCCGGAAGGGCGTCGAAAACAGTTTCCAACGGTACACGGGAATCAGCACAGCCCATGATGGCAGTATGTGGAGCTTGCCCATGCGTGACAAGCGCCTCCCGCATTTTCACCCCAGCAAGCTTAGCAAACGGCGCCCCCACGGCAAAGCGCTCATTGCCTTCTTTCCACCTGAGTTCAACACCACTGGTCACAATGGTTGTTGCAACATCTTAACCCCTGGCTGGTAACCTGAGGGGGTGTTGCAACGTATTATTCTAAGATTGATTTATAAGCAAGGTATAAGCTTCAGAGCCTGATCAGTTGACGAGTTACTAGACTAGTTCTTCTTCTTCCAACTCGTTCTTCAATGTCACTGCCACCACCTCCTCCTTCAGCACAAGGCTAAGTAGACTGGTCTAACTTGCCCGTCGTTCGACGGCCATTTTGTGTTGGTTGCAAAACATGAGAGAGGACCACTTCCCTTAGACTATGACTTCCGAGAAGCATGTTCAATGCTTCATTGGCGGACATAGGGCCATCGGCCGCGGTTCGTAGCCCATGCGCTCCACGTGCTGGTGGACCATAGCCAGCGCGACGGCCACCCTCCAGAGTCATCGATGGAGGGATGTGTTCGGAGGAGTTCAAGAGTTCCGCCTGTCGGGGAGATTCGCCCATGAACTCCACCTTGCCGGAGTCCAGGTGGTAGATACCACCATGAATCTCCACATCGCCGTTCTCCACTCGTTCTCGCAAGGGAGCGCTATACTTGAGCAAGAAGTCGATCGTGTGGAAGACATTCACACGGATGGCCGTAGCGGCCACCGCCTGCACGAAAAAGAGAACCGTTTTTTTTGGAAGTTCTTCACTCCCCAGGCCAAAAATTTACAGTAAAAGGAAAGATGCTGAGATTATGCATGACACCTGGCCCATCCTCAGATTTAGGACACTGACACCCAACATGACCCTGTCAAGATTGTTGGATTCTCCCATCTTCCATTCATACTGGAAGACCATTGAACATGGACAATCAGGCCTAAACATCTGATGCTACAGTGGTGTGATGCTGGATGCTGCCTGTTGGGAGGTGTTGGGAGGCTGACTTTGTCTTCATGTTCTCCCACCTCCATGTGCTCCTTCAAGGCTGACGTGGCCACCGGAGACATGTCTTCCAAAAGGCCCTCGAGCGCAGACTCGATGCCGTTCTTGGCTCGTTGGCCCTCCACGTAGGCCTGAGTGGCACCATAGACTGCACCACATTTCCTTGGAGTTGCTGATCGCCAACATCCAACGTTATACGTTGCACAATAGGTTCCCAAAGCCAAACAAAAACATATAAGAAAAAGCTTATATAAAATGTGTGAAATCCCAGGTTTCGTGTGGCCCAGAACCAGGATCAAGCGCGCACCCAACTTGCCAGTGCAGAATTCCAAGCTGCCAACCATACTTCCCTCTGCATGTGTGCAGGTGTTTCCAGCGTTGCGCAGCACAAAGATGTCTCCGGGCAGTGTGTCGAAGATCGTTTCCAATGGACACCGGGAATCCGCGCATCCCAGGATCGCGGAGTGTGGCGCCTGGCCATCACGCTCGAGCTCCTTCCGCATTGTGGCATCCACCCGTGCCTTGGGAGAGCCTCGAATGAAGCGCCCATTACCTCGGTGCGGCTGCCCTCACCCGAAAAAGTAGTGAGCAAGTAGGCATGTAGATATGAAGTAGGACGCTAACTATAGCTATAGTGCTACAGTAGCCGAAACAAATACTTAAGGCTATAGTAGATATTAAGCAGGACGCTACTATAGCCTATAGCCTATAGCTACTGGACGCAGGATAGCTCACGCATGCTCACGCTATTCATTTGGTTCCTACAATAACTGCTGAGTAATGTTGACCCTACTGAGACACATACGGTAGGGTGTATGTGATTAGAGATGATTAGAGTGTCTGGTGGAGAAGATCTCTGAAACGGTCCCAGGTTGCCTTGCTCCAAGAACTTCAATGCCATCTCCGGAGGCACCTGCCAGTCCCCAGCAGTGCGAACTCGTCCATCTGCATTGGCACCCTCGCGGGCCATCGGGTGGTCTGGGGGCACGTCCAACATGAACCCGACCTCCGCCACACTGTCAATCGGTCGCTTCGGAGAGGATGTCTCAGACATGGCGTGCAAAAACGGCGCGCCCACCACGTGGGGCGGAAGTGGGACTAAAGACTAAAGATCTGGGCAGGTGAAAATCTGCGAGCCAGCAACACGAGCAAAACCCAGTGCAAACGTGCTCCATGACAATCATGATGCAAACACACGTGGTGGAAAAAAAATCGCATGGTGAAGAGCCAACCAATAAAGCATCTAGTCTTGCTATATCTTGCTGCATCGTGCCCAATCTGTGCTTCTTAAGGCCCGCGCCTGGCGACCAGACGTGGCGCTCGTCAACGGGGTCGTGACCAAGCCACCGGGCGGCACGAAGCCCAGGACGTGCATGCCGCATCCTCGGTATCTCCGAAGCAGAGTGTCGGTATCTCCACGGCATCAAAGTTGGCCAGAATAAGTTGACGATTGGGTCAACAGACGATTGGGAGTTCAAAAGGGGTCCTACAAACCC